TGAAATCAACATACTCACTAAAATTGGGGTGTTTGGGAGTGAACTATTATATCTTCTTAAGACTATTTAATTCTATGTATTTTACACTTATTCATGCTTTCTCTAAAGACCTAAACTGAAACTTTAGCCTTTGGAAATATTTGAATAAAACCTTAGAGAGTCAGAGCTTACTCTTAATTATAAAACTGCCTGATCAGTTTTTAAATTTGTAGATGGTGTTATTCTGGTCTTCATATCAATCGAAAAACTGATCTGATTCACTACTAGTAAGGTTAAGAAAAGAAAGAAACTGAGTTGGGACTCAAGAACAGAAAAAAGATGGGTCATGAGGCATTTTCACATACTAGAAGGTGGAAAAATTAAAGTACAAGAAAAAATATAAAATAAAACATCTTAAGTTTCCAATGGTAGCTTGAGGGTGCCTGAACTGAAATGGTACAAACTCGAACACAAAAAGAGTAAATGGCTAAAGACTTACTGTTATAACACACATTCCAACACAGACTAAGGAACTAAAAGGCATAGACATCTGGAGATTTGTAAGACATATACGGTTTCATAAGGGCCAGAGAAGTTGCTCAAGTTCATCTACCCAAGAAGAGAATAACAGTTTTATATAATCATGGTAACTGTTTAGTCCTTCTCCTGAGTCTCTTGGGAAAGAGGATTAAGTAGAGGTACGAGAAGAGGATGACTGCCCTTAGAAAAGCAAAAATAAAACTCATCAATCTTAAACATTCAAAAACTTGGGAGTTTTGGATCATTTTTCAATAGCTCTTTTTCAGGAGGAGATCCTTTAATCTGACTGCAGTTTTCTCACTTCTCTCATATATGTATTTCAGGTCTTAAAACAGTCCCTAAAGCAAAAGATCTCCATTCAATATGGGTCTGAAATTAAGCTGATTTATCCATAAGCTACCAAGTTAGACATCATTTCTGACCTACTATCCCTACTTCAGGTAACGTATCTGAGGAAAGGAATCTTAAAGGGAAAAATGGGGAAGTAATTAAGAAGTACATGACACACAAGACACCCTATTACTGATTTGCTTTAGAAGCTGTTTTAATTTTTTTAAATAGTACTACCGTCATTACGATCAAAGTTTAAAAGTAAAAAAGACATTTAGAAAATTTCCTTCTCAACCCTGTCCCCCAACTGATTCCATTCTCCAGAGGTACCAGTTATCAGTTTATGTATCTACAAATAGGCTTTGAATATATAAGCAAAAATATATACCTCTAAGTTATTTGTATATATACATTGTTTATGCCTTCTTCCCCTCAAAAGCCCTTCTTACAATAGAGAAAGGTCAGAAAAAGAGAAAAACCAATTGCAGAAATGGTCAAAGAAGTTAAGTCTATCAAAATAAGAAAATGTAATCAAGGGTATGGGGAAATGGACTCATACACCATTGCTTAGATATCAATTAATACAGTCATTCTGGGGAGCAATTAAGCAGTGCCCATTAAAATTAAATGTACATAAAATCTGATATAGCAATTCCACTTCTTCATACGTGCTCTAGGAAAGCACCAATGCACAAAGAGACACATTCAAAAATGTTCACTGAAACGTTCTTTCTAAATAGTGAAAAATTGGAAACAAAAGTATACATCAATAGAATTAGATTAACTAAATTAAGGTTCATTGATACTACAGAATACTATACTGCAACTAAAAAGAACTGTTGCCTATATATTATGTATGCAGCATTGTTTATATTTTGTATTTACCTACATAATATTTCAGTTATTTATCTCTATAACGATAAAATACAGAATCATATATGTTGATGTGAAAAGTTCTCCAAGACATTGTGAAGTGGGGGAAAAAAGCAAGCTATAAAATAATACTTGGTATATACAATTTGTAAAAATACAAGGGAACATATAAAAAACAAATAAAACTTCCACATATTTTTTTATGTATGTAAATATACAGAAAAAGGTTTGACAAAAGAGAATTAGTAAACTTTATGAAGGAGATGGATTATGAATGGAGGCCCAAAGGAAGTTTACTAGTAATGTTTCCTTTATTTATAAACAATGGGAGAACATTCATTACTTGAGTAATTCAAAATAAGTAGCATTTCAAAAGACGTTGCAAATACAACTTGAACTTTTTTCATTCATGAGAAAAACCGTTTTCCTTTCCATCTTTGTTAATGTGGTTAATTTTAATGTTTTATACTTCAATTATTTTTCAATCGAACACAAGCTAAACACACCTCAACAAAAACAAATCACTCGTTAATTTTACCAGTGGTGCAATATCTACTTATTTAAGTGACAGTCATTCAACAGAAGTTTTTTGATTTCCAAAAATCATACAAATTTTGATATTTTAGAAACTCTCAAAAATATGTTTCTACAGTAATTACAAAACTGAGAAAAGTGTAAAAAGGAATGATATTAAAATTCTGGTAATTGTTGCTGCTTTAGAAAGATAATACCTAGTCTAATAAACTGTAAGAAGCTAAGTAAGTCTTGGATCACATCAGTCAATATAGAACTGTTAACAGTTATAAAATTTCACATTTGTATGTAATTTCACATTGTAAAATTTATGAATAATGGTTTCAATGTTACTTATTTGGCCTTAATGAGACATTACAGAGTTTTTCTTTAAAATCGAGTGAGTTCAGATCTCAGGCTCTAGTAAAAGTTTCAAATCTGGCTCTGGTAATAGTATAACTTTGGTCAATTAACACCTCTTTTATTTGTTGAATATCTATCTTACTGAGACGTTAGAGGAGAACTTTTACATGATAGAAGAACAGAGTCACCAGCAAGAAAACAAACACACTTGTTTTTTGTAATAGAGTTACATGAACATAGCCATGCTCATTTGCTTGCCTATTGTCAAAGGCTGCTTTTGCACTGAGGAGTTGTGACAGAGAATACATGGCCCACAAAGCCTAAATTATTTACTAACTCACACTTGATAGAAAAAGTCTGCTGGTCTCTGATACACAGAATGCTAAGTGCCAAGCATTTCAACCTGGCAAATAGGAAGAACTCAATGTGTACTTGTAGAATTTTAGCAACATAATTACTGAACATATAGATTATGCCCTATAAGACAGTTTTTTAAAAAACAAGCAGTATTTACCTGTACCATAGCAACAAGACCTTGTAACTGTCTAAGTTTCTGCTTTGCAGCCATGAGTCTATTGATCTGTTCAAATTCAGTGTCTTCTGGAGCCTCGTCAACCAGGCTGCTCCTACGACTAGATAAAGAGGCTCCACTGACCCCCTCTTCTTCTGCTTCTTCATCCTCTTCCTCATCATCATCACCTTGTGCAACAGGAATCCCCTGTTCTCCTTCTCTATTATATCGGCAATCTGCTGAAAACATGTATCATTGAAACCCATAGTTTAATATGCTTAAGAAGAATATTAATGAAAGAAAATCCACTTCCCAAGAATGACAAAATTATCTGTGAATATAGTCAATCATACCTAAAGGAGGAGGCATGTTTAAAGCCCTTATGTTGGCAGATCTGTTGTTAATTTCACAATTAGAATTAACTGATCTCCCATCTCTGTTATTAGAAACACACTGTGCATTAGAATTACTATTTACTTCATTCCAGGTGGCAGGTACTTGTGGATTTCTAAAAGACACAAAACAGCCTCAAGTTATTTAAGGTAAAAATAATAATTTTTAAAAATTGAGGTTTTTAAAACTATTGATAAAATAATTTCAAACTAAGAATATCACTGGCTATTTCTCCATTTAAATTCACTCTAATCGGCTGTTGCTTTTCATTAACTTATCCTATTTGGAAATTTAAAAAGCAAAATATCTGAATAATAATTCTATCTAAAAATAAAGCATAGGAAAATGTTAAGTTAGGAACTACTTATGACTTACTGGCATTCGATCTAACAAACAGCAAATTCACTCAACTACTATACTCAATACTTACCTGTTTATATTTATAGAGCAAGTAAGATTACACTGACCAAAACAGCAGACTTAGAGGAGAAAAGCTTAAATAAAGGCAAATAGCACTCAGTATTGAGATGTTGTTTCATGTTAAAAGTATTAAGTTAGGATGACATTAACTTAGGATGAATATGTTAGAAAAACAAACTTAAAGAGGTCTTACCGAATGTTAGTAAAAGGTTCAGAATTTCCATGCTCAGAATCATATTCTGACTCTTCGGTTTCTTCATCTTTCGTGTTTTCATTTACAGCATCTGTCATCATATCTGATGTTTGTTCGTAATAATGAACTAATTCTCTCAGTTCATTTAATCTTTTTCGAACTTCATTTAACTTTCTGATAAAAAAATATGTAACATTAATACCCATTGTAGTATTCTGCACTTTTTTCATGTAACAGCAGCCAATACAAATAAAATTTAGACCTAGCCAAATATCCAGGGGGTGTGACTGAAATGAATTTAAAGTAAATAATTAATTTCAAGTACTCAGTAGCTCATTATATAATTTTCTTATGCTGTATTAAGGATAAAAGTACAAAAAACCAGTTTCAAGTATTTAAGCAGGTATAAAAGTTTACAGCTTAACAGTCAATGTCAAGAATATTCCTGGTCTTAGTAGGTATCAAAAATATAAAGTACTAAATATTCAAGTATTACTTCTCAGGCAAATCAGATATGCAGGCATTAATGAGTCTGCTGAGTTTCTACTATGCATCAGGAACTATGCCGTGTTTTTTAATCTTTAAAAATACCTTTATGAATGTATGTATTATCATCCTTATTTTTCAGATGAATAACAGAGACTTAGTGAGGGCAAGTTATTTGTCCCTGGTCACAAAGCCTTGTGAAATAAAATTTCAGGGGAGCTGGGGCTCTAAACCAGTTGAATATAGAAATCTTTGTAACTATAGTCCCAGCTATTTCTAATCCTTCATTTGGAAAATGGGAAAAAAACAGCTCACAGAAGCTACCACACACACACACACACACACACACGCACACACACCTTCTACCACCTTTATTCACTTAAGAATGTTTATCATATTAAGTAAATTAAGTTTTTCTAGAATTTTCAACAATGAAAAAACATAATTAATTCCCATTATTCAGTTCTAATCTATGTGAACAATGTTTGTAGAAAATGTATTATTACTTAGCAGCAGGATAAGGAACAGACGATGAGAGTGTGCTGGCTTCTCCACTGACAACGGGTGCGAAGCCTGCGGGAGCAGAGGGAGCTGAAGTGGTACTTCTCTGATCCACGCCCCTTTGTGGAGAGGCTGAAGAAGGCACAACTACCAAAAAAAAAAAAAAAAATGACCAACTTCCATAAATAAAAATATATGGCATCAAACAACACTTATTCACAGTTTGCTTAAATACAGAAAAACAAAATTTATTAACATCTTAAATTCTGCAGATTTAAATTTTAGAAACTTAAGAATGTAACATCCAGGCCACTTACTAACATGTTCCTTAACCAGAGTCAAAACAGAAAGGAAAGAATAATGAAAGACAAGACAGAAATTGACAAGAACAACGGTTTGGTTCTAGGTTAAGTTAAACAGGGCCATCATGTTCGGCACACCATCTACAAATCTTTGCAGGGCAGTCCTAGCAGTTCAGGTCCCTAAAGAGTTCTAAATCTACAGCAAGGAGGAATTTTATCTGGTCTCCAAGACGGAACTTCTCTTGTTCCACAAGATAAAATAAAACAAAGTTACTGTGGCACATCCATACCACGAACTACTACTCACAATAAAATTTCCTAATAAGATGATGGCGAAATCCCCTATAGTCCTTGAATTACACTTTACTTTCTGTCCATACAGATCAGACAAAGGTATCTTATGCCTTCAAGGACAATGAAGATTAGTAGTCTTTGCACTACTCTTTCCTACCCGTTTAAAACTAATGCCATTTATCTTTCTTGTGACGACCATCACATGCTGCTCACACTGCCACTGCTACCGCTGCTTTCCTGTAGTCCCCTCACTCTCCTCCTCCACTGTTCTATCTTTTGTGCTGCTTTCACAATTTCCCAGGGGGGGAAAAGAACTTTGTAGTCACAATAAGCAAAATTCTACTCTACTTGTATAAAACTGACCCCAAGGCCTTGAACACAACTTTCAAATTTTAAGTTTTTCTTAGTTGTGGTCATCTTTTTAGGAAGGATGATCACTGAGATTATTTGCTAGAGGATGAGACTTAGCAGACGTCAGGGAAAAGAGAGGTGTATGTTTTAAGGCAGAAACAGTCAGGTTCTTCTGGGGGTGGCAGAGAAACAGGAAATGGCTGAAGAATAAGCAACAGGGACTCTGGAGATGTTCTTTCTTTCCCTTGTCTTTTCAGCAGCTAGTGTTGAATAACAACAACCAGCTGGTCACTCCAATTTCCAATGCTAAAACTCCCATCACCAACGGTGTGGTAAGAGGCAGGGACTAAGCCTGAAAACATATGAGGAAAGCGAGTGAGGACTAGTAACTAGATCTGAATTAGAGGCAAATAAAACATATCTGGAGGAGAAAAGGTAGCTCTTATAGTATAACTAAGATAACTATTGCCTTTCCTATGCTTTTTCTATAGAACTAGTTTAACTAGGATGACTATACCTTTCCTAACCCCACCTGAGATGACTGTAATTTTAAAAAGGATTTAAATTAGGACTTTCTGCACTAAACCAGAGGTACTGCTAATTCTTCATGTCTCACTTTTTTTTGGTATAAAAACTTCCTAAATCTGTCTCATAGTTTTAAAATCAATTTAAAAATCACTAATTGGATTAGTTTTTAAGGAAAACTTCTGAGTAAGCTAAAAAATGTGGTATTATTATGTCTAAGTATCTAATAGTTATCTTTTCTTTAACTTTTCTCTTATTAAAATCCTATTAATTTGTCAAGGCCCAACTTTATTATTTCCCTTTTCTGCAATATAGAACAGATCTACCATCTATTTGGCATTTATTATACATTGCTTTGTTACTTAAAAACTTCTCAGAAGCACATCCTATCTTCCCACAAAAATGGTAATTTTGAGGAACTATGTGTTCATTCATTTATCAAGTATTTACTAAGTAACTATTACAAGCAGGTATATATACTTCTATGTGTCCTCTACTTAGTACTCCCAAGCCAGATATACTTACATGATGAATTGTTCAAATGCTGATCTCGAAGTGTATGTAGTTCTCCAAGCAGTCTGTCCATTTTTTGTTTCTTTTCCTGTAACACTCTCATTTTGCTAAAAAGTTGGACTTTCTCATCAGGTAATTGTTCGGAAACTGACGGATTTCTGCTCTGGGAGACCTCCCTAGTTAGTGAAAGACTTTCTGCCTGTCTTCTATTGTCTGGAACAGCTGGAGGCTTATTTAAAAAAAGAAGAAAAATAAAGACTAAGGCAATTAAAAGGTATATTTTCACTTAAAAAAATTAGTAAATATTCCTTATAAAAAGAGATCTTTACTGAGGTTGTGGTGGGTAAGTATATGTCTTTCCTATACTCAAATTACATACTGTCTCCTGATGTGCCACTTTAACATGTATTCACAGATATATGGTTTTACAGACACACACATCTACTCAGTCATCTTGGATAAACTAAACATTATTACCTGAATTCTACAGTCTAAAAAAATCTCATTCTCTCTCTTGTCATCTTATTAGAACCACAACGTAAAATTTAACTCCTTATAACCTATCAGTTTTTCCGACCACTTCTTTTCTATGTTCCTCTATTAAAAGAAAAATGAAAACTGAAAACTTCCACTAAGGATTAGGGAATGACTACCCTCCACTGAGCTTAGTCAAATTTCAATCTTGCCACATTTGCACCAATTCTTTTTTTCTTTAAGAAATATAACATTACTGGTATAGCTAAAGCTCTATCCACACCAATCCCCAATCCCATTACTCTTTACAGTCACAATCTGGAACTAGATATCTACCATTCTTAACTATGCTTTTGTTTTGTAGTACCTATGTAAGTATCTAAAAAAATACGCTCTTCACACATCTTTAAACATCAGCTAAGTGGTATCCTTCTTAAACATGTTTTTCATTCATTAGCTTTAGTTCATTTATTGTAACTGGTTATAGGATTTCACTCTATGTACTTGTAATTTACTAATCCTCTTCCTATTTAAGGACATTTAGGTAATTTCTGCATTTTTTTTTTTTTTTTTTGCTATTAACAAAATGGTATCATGAACATTCTTGTACATATCTCCTTGTGAACATGTCAGAGTTTCTCTAAGATAAGCCACTGGAGGGTCACTAGAAAAAGCATACTAGGTATTGTTAAATCACCCTCCAGAGTGGTTGGGTCATATTCTTCTATTTTCACCTGGTCAGCAGACAAAAGACACTGACATCTTCAATCATATTCATTTCCTGTGAAGAGACATTAACTCACCCTTTCTTACTCAAGACCATATTGAAATTTTGCATTTTTATCATGACTTACAAAAGCCATCAACTTATAACACTTATTAACTGACTTTAAACTTAAGAACTTTCTTCAAAGTGTTAGCAAAATATTGCAAGGACATAGATCCAAACATAAGTTTAAAAGTTGTAACCAATAATAATCTTTGAGAGGAAAACAAGAATGTGTCACCTGATAGAATACAAGGGGAAATTTCATTAATCACTTCATTCAAAGTATATTTTCCTCTAATGTAGTGTTTCTCAATGTACAGTCCCCAAACTACCAGCACTGGAATCACACGGTAGGAAGCTCACCACAGATGTATTAATCATAATTTTGGAGGTAGGGGGACCCACTGACCAGTCATCTACATTTTTAAACAATCATGCCAGGTGATATTTATGCTCAGTAAAGTTTGAGAACCACTGCTTTAATTAATGTGATTTTAAACTCAACTATACTAAAAAAATTTAGTTACCTGAGAATCACGAAGCTGATTATGAAAACGCTGAATTAAATCATTCAATTCTTCATTTAGTTCAGAAGTGATACTGACTCCAGATAGGCTACCTGCAGTTTCTGTTACAACTGGGAAGAAAATTAACAACTATTCATTAAAGTACAGAAAGAATTACCTTTTCAATTCCAGCCAGAGAAGCTAAAAACAATTGTTAGGGAGAAAAGGAACTTTTAAAAAAAGAATCTCACCTAGCATAATTTCAAACTACTTAACCCTTGTATTTATCTACCAACCCAACCTTTTATTGGAAGTTTCCATCTAACTTGAAAATAAAAGGACACTCAAAACACTCTAGTGTAACAGTCCATCTCTTTCTGTGCTAACATTCTTCAGGGTCACAGGTACATCCCTATTAAGAACAGTGGCTCAATGGAGTGGGAATAAGGACGGGTCTATCAGGCTAGGCTGGGAGAGTGACAGGGAAGGTGGTTAGTGTGAAAAGGCACCTGATTCTCACAGGTCTCCATCCCCACCTCCTCCAACAGCATCAATGCTCTAGTACAGGGGCTGGCAAGCTTTTCTTAAAGATTCAAACAGTAAATATGTTAGGCTTTGTGGAAACAGTCTTTGTCTCAATTATCTAATTCTGCCACTGTAGGGTAAAAGCGACCGCAGACAGTACATTAGCAAAAGGGCACGGCTGTGGTCCACACAGCTTTCTCTCATGCAGTGTACGGAGTCCAGCTGGCCATGGTTTGCTGACCCCTGCAGCACAACAGATAATTCAATAAAGTAGTTGCTTGTGATGTAAGTCGTACTGAATGACAATAGTTTTTACCTTCTTAAGGAAGTATTCCTAAGGCAGTATTCCGATGACAATTTTGACAATAGTTAGTTCTCTACTACCAAACCACCCCATGCTTATCCTCTCAAGGTCTACAAGAGACACTGACTCTAAACTGTTTCTGTTTTAAAGGAAAATACTATCATTTTCAGTAAGGAATTAGAACTTCAGGTTGGACAGAATTCCACATATGCAGTCCAAACTATTTTAAAAAGAAATTACAATTTAAATAACTAACAAACAAATTGCTACTTAAATGATGAAAAGGAGCACTCTTTCCCATGACAATTACGTTGCCTCTTATATACCAATAGATTAAATATAATTCTGGTTTTCCATCAGTCGTCCCCTGCAAAATTTCATAAATTCAAGAGGAAATCTGTTTTAACATTATTAACCTAAAATTCTTTTTGAAATAGTATATAAATTAAATTCAAATTTAAACTGTTCCCTTTACCCCTGTACCTGCCTCATGAGAGTATACTACCCACTCCCCCCACAAAATGAGATTATCTGCCTACTTACAAATAAAAGTTCATCCTAGTAATAGAAGACCCTTGACCCAGAACTCATGAAATCTGATTCCACTAAAATTCCTTCTAAGCCTAGGCAAGTCATGAAACCTGTGTTACAGTTCCCTCTCTCTTAAATGGGAATAAGGAAAAAACGCTCTGGTGACTAATCTACAATTTCGTAGAGATCAAATGAGATGATATAAATGTAACTATTTAAGCTAAAATAATTATCACAGGAAAATCTCTGAAATCTGATACTCTAAACCTAAAAAATATTTAAAACATTAACCATTAACCAAACTACTTCACTGGCCATTGGTGAATTGGTCATTGTTAAAATATTTTTTTCCCTATATTATCTATTTCCTAAGTATAAATGTAAAAGCTAATGATACCTTGGATAATAAAAAGGGAAAAATGGGGGTGAAATCTGTAGAATTATTACCACATACTATAGTAAGTATAGTATATACAACTAAATAATTACAAAAAAGTTACTTGCAAGCCATAATGTTATGAAAATACAAAATTAAATTATGTATGACAGTGACCACAGGGCTGAACCAGTGGGCTAGGTGTGGACAGCAGGATAAATTGAGTGACATCAGGGAAACTTCAGTGAGGACCTAAAATAGCCCACATGAGATTAATTATTACAACACTGGGATAACAGACTACTAGAAAATATACCTTGTTTTATTGAATTTTAGTAAGTAACAATGTTTTCAACTTAATGCATAATTAAACACTTAGCTTTGGAGATAATGAGATAAACTGTAAGATTACTCAATACTAAGGAATTCAATACAGTTTCACCTAAATGATATACGGCTATGAGGGAAGAGGAAGAAAGAGTATTTCTGAGTCTCAGGAAGACCACAGAGGACATAAATATAGTCCAAAGGAACTAGTGTATAACAGCTGGATACCTCACTAAAATAACAGAGCTACTACTAAAGTCAGAAGCTAAAGAAGCTCTATAAATTCATTACCTCACTTAAGATTTTAACCATTCCTTGATAAGCAAGCAAAGGATCGCAATCCTAGTGCAATTAAGCACAAAAGGTGGAAATAAAAGCATAAGAGCCCTACCAGCCTGTCCCTTTTACCTCTTAAGGGTAACTCTCTGATGAAAAGGAGAGCGAGCTGGCCAGCTGCCCAGTACAGTGTGATGGCCAGGAGTTGTCCCTGCAACCTTTTCTGCATGACCAGAGAAAAGCACAGGACAGGGTAAGCCTCACATGTAGGTTTCTAAGCTAGTCAACAATCGAGACCTGATTGCGAAGTAACCAGCATCCCCCTTGTAATACCATTATTCGTTGATTGAGCCTCACTTATAGAGAACATTAGAGGACTGGCATACCAGAATCATCCATCACGGCGATAGCCTGCTCTGCTTTATGCTGCAGAGCAAGAAGAGCAGCTTGCCGTCCCTGCAGAGCTCTCAGCTGCTCCTGCTGTTGTAACATCCTTTTTAATAAATCATGCTGTTTCTTCAAATTTTCTATCTCTTCCATAGGCTCCTGCTGAGAGTCTCTGGCCTGGAAAATAAGACCAGTAATACTTATACCTGACTATTAAAATTCAGGCTCCTGTTTTAACTATCAATGGCAAAGTACATACATAGAGAACACATTAAATATACAACCCTAGATAGTTTTAGTAGACTTGTAGAAAAGAGTTAAGAGTAAAATGATGCAGAGACAGCCTGCCATGTTAAGAGGCAGGTAGGTAATTTCATGGTAAAAGAGCATAAGCAATGGCTTGGCTAGAAGAGGAATTAACAAAAGTAAAGAAAAAGACACACAGAAATGAAGACAGGAAGGGTGCAGAGAGGGCAAAAGAAGCCACACACACACACACACACAAATGAGGGATCTAGGCCTTACAGAAGAAGAGCAGCTCATACCAGGTTAATGCCCTAAAAGTATCCTTGAAAAAGACCAGATTAACAAATGTTCTGCCCGACTCCTAGAAGTGATACTAAAAGTAACAAAACAAAAACAAACCCACTATTTCTTAGCCAAGGACAAAAACTTACAAAGCACAATTTGTAACTTGATAATCTGATGTAAAAGGCTTGAATTTACTTGCCTCACATTGAGTAAGCATACAATAAAGCAGAAAATTTCATATTTTGAATCAAAGATATTGCTATTTTCTTTTAAAATGCTCATTTAGCTGAGTCTAAGAACATAAAATACTTCAAAATTCCCCCAAAGGCTAGCATTCTGCCTAAAAGAAGAACATATTAAAGAGGTGCCACCTATAAAAAACTATAAAATTTCAAATGTTATTCTTGATAGTACTCAAATGTAGCCCAACAAAAATAAAAACTCAATTAAGCAAAGAGACACACTTAAGTACAACTCAGAAACAATCACAGGCCAAATTATGCATGAAATGTATACATACCATAATGGTATTTTTCATCATTGATTTGCCTCTTAAAAATGTATTTAAAAAGTTTAATGATGTTACCTAATATTTACATAAAATATTTCTATTAAAAACATTTTAGCAATTTTAAATGTGCCCTGCTATCAAATTTTTGTTAGGGTTATACTGATTTTAAATGAATGATCTCCATCCTCACCAAAGTTACTAAGGAGAACGAGGAAGTTCAATGACTTCTTTTGAAAGCAATAATACACTGACCTACTTTGCCTATGTACATTTGATTCCTCAAGAAATTATGAAGAACACACGGCTCAAGAGAAATTCCCTTCTTGGTGACATCCCTTTCCAATTCTATGCTCCCTGTCCAAGGTAGAATTCATTAGTATTGTGAATAAGAACGAGTAACTGTGATAACATTTCACAGTCTATCTCAGCAACCAATAAACTGGTAAGTGAACAAATAAGGACATGGCTTAGAATTAGTACTCAAAAAAAGTTAAAATCAAATGGGAGGTAAAAGACTGTAGTCAGAATATGTGATGTACATATTAGAGAAGCCCAGTTGGTGCTCCATCTATCCTGGTCTGACCAACCAGACTTCATGAACACAAAAGAGAAATAATCTACCTTGGTTAAGCCACTACTTAATGGAGATTTTCTGATGAACTTAATGGAGAAATTTCTAATGAACTAAAGCCCTTTACAAATTAACTACTGTTTACTCAGTTCTCTCCCATCCCATAAAAGTGTTACAGGGAGTTACCTTGTTAACACGGACATATATTCCTATCAAAATTCATCTTAATTCTGTCTTATTTCAAGACTGCTTCCATCTTGAAAAAACAAGTTTAAGGGGGAGAGGTAACTACTAAGAGCTCACCCTCTCAGATCTGATCCAAAATAATTTCATCAGTCACTGGTAACCTTTAAACCAGACCCAAACAGTTACAGATCCTAATGCAATGCCTCAGAGAAACCTCTCCAGATTGATAATCAACTGAATTCTCAGCAAAGTATCAATGGTAATTAATTAGAAGAAGAAACATTACACAAATAAGGAAAAAGTTCTTCTAGAAAAAAAGAAAATCTTCAAGAATGGGTACCTCCATCTAATTTATAATCTTCCCATCTCTCATAGTTCAGACCTCAGGATAACCTTAAAACTATCTAAGAGCTTGATAAAGAATTTAATATTATATACTTTTAACTTTTTAAAAAGCAAACTTTAAGAAGGACTTTAATCCTTATTAGTCACACTTACTTTCAAAAACTCTGATACTCTAAGTATGAAGAATTATGAAGTATTTATTAAACACAACTGCCTTCACATTTTCATTAATCCGAAGATGAATTCCCAACAATTTTTGAAATTCCCAACAATTTTTGAAATTGGGGCAGTTTTATTATGGCTTAGTAACTTTTTGCCCATATAAACATTTCAAACTAATACAAGAGCTGACCTAAGGAAAGTGGTGGGAACTACAAATCAAATAGAAAGGGAAGATGAGAAAATGGAAATAAAAATACCTAGGGATAAGAACAGTCCAAAAGAATGGTACATGGAACAGAAATCCAAAAATAAGCCAGGATTGTACCCACCCTTCAAGTACATACTGTCATCTAAACTTTTTGAGTCATCTAAATCAACAAGCACATTTTCAATTTACAGATTTAAAAAACTTAGGCATGAAATCCTGAGTTGCAAACATGTAACGGTCCAATTTCAGAAAACCCTATCTTCCTTTCCTATACTTGGCTGAGGTTTCTTCAATAATTCTTCATGAATCAATTACACTTTAATAGCCAGAAGCACTTCAGACAATATGCATTCCAATTTTTTTCTTGTGAAAAGTGAGGAACTATAAGCTCAGAGAAGATAAAGCAGAGATTTATCCAGCAGCACAGTTAGGGCAAGTCAGATTCCTAGGCTTGAGTTTAGTATTTTTCACACTACACTGTCTGTCCCAAATTCTGTGCTTAGATAGTTCTAAAGGCAGAAGACTATAAAACACAATCTCTGAGGAAGTTCGGTCTGGTATGGGAGACAAAGCTCGCCCACCACATGAAATAACTAGAAATGATGAAAATAAAAGCAAACAAAGCTAGACAAGGCTTATACTTTCTCTAAGAGCTGAAAGTAAGTGTGAGTTAAAGAGAAATACTAGGAACCAATGAAGGCACGGGTACTTGCTGGAAGGCTTTTTAAAAATTGTGCAAAATGTCATGTCTATAAAATATTCCATAAAATGGACTCTGTCCCTTTAGGCAGCATAAGAATATCAATAATTTTTTATCAAACTGCAACTCACAAGGTTGCTTTAAGCTTTGAACCTGTTAAAACCTCAACTTTTTTTTCCTACACTTCTAACAGATACTACATTTTGAAAACATGTTAAGGAGAAATCAAAGGTAGGGTGAGAATGACAGATTCTGCTTAGCAGAGAAAGAAGAGTTAGCTGGTGGAAATCAGGAAATCACTATGTACAGAGTACTGGCAGAACTGCTATCCTAGGATGGCCCTAGAAATCAAAGGATTAAAAATTACACTGGAATAAACTCCAAGAAACAAGTTCAAAACAGAATAATATTCAGGTTTAAGAACATTATTCAGAGAAACTGCAAAACAGAAAAGTGGTCTTTAACCAGAAGGTCTTGTAGGGAAAAAAGTAAGACTGGCAGATACTAAACTATAGTAATCATCAACTCCTAAATTCTGTTTGTCACTATATGGAAGACTTAAAGAGAAGAACAGTGGTTCTAAAAGATACTTACATATGCTTCACATTCACTTTCTCTTCTTCAATGCTACTAGTTTTAAAACTAATCAGCTACTTTATTTACTCTTTTGCTGAACTGAGGCACCTTTTGTGTTAACACTTTATAGTAAGATCACCACCGCTGATTTCAAACTATATCCTCCAACTCCTGTGGGAGCCAGGAAAAAAAATCTTCCAAAAATACCTAGAGGTTAAGTTTTATCACTTTTAAACAGACACAGAAAAAATATAAAATATGTACATAACAGGAAAAAAAGAAGAGACTAATCCTAGGTAACAAGTTAGTAATGAAACATGTCTTAATACTGAATTACTAAAATAGTAATTTACTCTTGTCAAGTGGGTACGAATGAGCACTTTCACAAATGCTATTTTTTATTCAAATTGTTTTAAGAGAACTCATAAATAGTTGCCTTTATACTTTTCTTGAGTGCCTTTATGCAAATCATGGAAAATTAAAAGAAAGATCATTTAGAGAAAACATTGGAGGAAAATATAGCAAAAACACTAGCAAACAAGTTGACTGGGTAATTATTTTTCTAAAAAAGACCAGAAGGGGTTCCTACCAGGAACAAAAATACAAACCGAATCCACTACAAAAATACTTAATTCTCACAGACAGGGAAGTTATTAGCTTTCTCTATTTTCTTTTTCTTTAATGAATGTCTTCATAAGAAATAAGATAAAACTTTGCAATTACCATCTTAATCCATGAACACAAATATCAGAAACAAAAGGCAACTAATGGCCAAGGTTTAAGAATGTTACATTTTGAGTTCTCAATAGCAAAAAAAGGATTAAGTTTCAAGTCCTTCATTAATGCAAATTAAAAACAGTTGCTCCATATAAAACCATGGAGAGGAATGTGAAAAAGCAGAAAAGAAGAACATTAAGGAACAGCATTTTACTAAAGCGAACTACAGAATCATTACCCAAGTTAATAACTTATACATTTAAAAGTAATAGCAAAAACAGAAAAGGAGAAAGCAAGAGGAAATACGAGCAAAAGAGGTACTCATTTAGAGACTTCCCAAGTTAAAATCGTGAAGTATACCTTTGAGGGAAATCCAAAGTTTCGGCAATAGTTTTCGGCTATATTTCCTATCAGGCCTCAGCTCTCTGCCACTCTGAGGAAGTCTGTCACCTTTCCCTTTTGGACTTGTAGTAACATCAATGTCTGAAACCCGTTCTAGTGAATCTAATTCCCTGTTTGTCCTCAATGCATGGCCGAACTCTCAGACTAAAAGATGCCTCCTTTATTAAATAGTGTAGCATATTAATTTCTTAACACAAACTCCTGTTTAACATACAAGCCACCCTTGTAAATAAATACAAGATTTACCAGTCCATCTTTTTAAAAATCAATTCACTCCCCTCCCCAAAGTGGCAATAAACTTAAGACTTTTAAATCTCTGTAGACTATCATATCCTGGGCAATCTCCAGGCCACTCAAGTGCTGAAGCACATTTTAACATTTATTCTATGTTATTTGTCAACTTTCATAATGTCATGATTATTTATGGAAGAAATTATCATAGTGAATACTACATATGTTAGTATATAAATTATAGTAATCAACTGTATCATTTCTCACCCCTCCCCAACAGAATTCCTTTTCCCCAGGCCCCAACCCTTCTATTTCTGCTGGAAGGTAATGTGAGGAAGAAATCATTTCCAGCACCACTGTAAGTAGAAAAACAATTTCCCCACAGTAGAACTCATTCTTCAACAACTGTTTGAATCAAGATCTCTTAGAATCTCCTGGTGAAAATAACGTAGAGAAAAAAAATTCAAATTTCCTCTTCAAATTAGGAAGGGCAGGGAGGAGAAAGGCGATAGATAAGAAACTATGCAGGTCAATACTAAAGGAAACAAACCCTCAAATTCCTAATGCTGAATGGTGTTTTGGAACATACCTCAGAAACAAAAGATACACATACATGGTTATCCTCTCACAAGAAAAGCTTTACTGGTAACAGATTTTCAAGTTTACTAATGCATGGTTATAGGTGCATCTGTTAAAATCAAAATGCTTAAAAGCATACTAGCTTCAAAGCACACTAACTTCAATGAGCTAAATTTACAAATCTTTCCCAAAGTTCTTTGAATTTCTGATTATTTTTCCAAAACACATTTTGGTAAAGTTCATTTTGCAGTCAGAAATTATTATACTTTTCTCACTGTGAATAAATCACAATGTAAATGCTACACTGTCCCATTTTCATCTTAATTTTTTCAATCATTTGGTTTTGCTACAGTTCTAGGGTAGCCTGAGAAATGAAAAATCCTAATGGCCTTGAGTGACTCCTCAATGACAAATGAACTTGGGAGATATTTTTTCCAGTAGACAATATGCTAAGCAATGATATAACTCTGTACTTACAGCTCATATATCCGCAACGAATTTTAACTTTCCCAATGCTCCTTAAAATGACTATAAAGCTGTGCTTAATGAAACTTAAAAAAAACCATGCTTCTGCAAGCTGAAGACCAGAAATTACTTTCAAATCAATCATTAAAACTATTTTTAAGGTTGATAAATAAAACTTTCAAAACTTTCATGTTTAAAAAGAACATTTACAGCATTAACAATTTGAGGGTTTCCTCCCCTGAAGTATACTTTTCATTAAGGAATGACTATAAAAACATCTTGAAAAATGGGAGGAAACTGTAAATCTTCATTTCCAGCACTTTAATTACCAAAAAGCCGCTTACCGTGGTATCTGAAGCCTCAGACTGCACATCTATGTTTAGCGATGTGCTCTCAGCTACAGAACCAGATCCCACAGCTGAATTTATAGTCCGAACATCCTCCTCCTCATTTTCTCTAGCCTGAAATATTTCAGTGGTATAAATCATACAACTATTAAAAAGGGCAATAAAATGTTATAATGGATGGCACGATTCTTTGAAAATATATTAACTCCTCTGGGGTGGCATCAGAATACCATTAGTATATGTATACTGATATGCTACGAAAATAACTCAATGCATTATTTAGAAGGCCCAAAACTTACAAGAATTTTCTGGAGAAATTTCATATATGCCTTCTCTTGTTCTTTAAGGTGATTTATTAGATGAGTAAGGCGCTCAACATTAGCAGATCTTTCATTTTTCTCTACAAGATCTTCCCTCATGGAACTAGCTTTAGTAATATAGTCACGAATCTGAACAAGCCTGCCAACGATCTACAGGGGGAATATGTAGAGGGAATAAAAAAGGCATGAAAGTAAACAGTATGTAAAACTGAGCATAGTTCATTCAACAGCAACAATTTTAGAGATTCATTTCAAAAATAATAACCAAAAATACTTGTAGGTTTATTGTGTGAACTCATACATTCGAGTAAAACCCGAATCAAATTTAGAATTTAATCAAAACATAGCTGGCAATACTAATTCCAATTAGTTTTAACATACATTACCAGAAAAATATTGTTTATAGAACTGCATATCAAACTACTATATAAAATTTTTACATAATTTATTTAGAAAAAAAGTATTATAAAAATACTTTTGAAAGTACTTCTCAGAAGCATTATATCACCATTTTAAAAAATCCTTACAATCTATTAATCACATTGCTCCCAACTCCCCTTTACTAAAAATCGGCAATACAGCATTGGCAAATAAATAGAAACCTTAATATTCCTGACTATACTATTTCTACAATCTTGGGTAAAAAGACATTTAGACTATTTTGAATAAATCTGGTGGATTAATGAGGGTGAAGGAAATACCTTTTAATTATATCCAACTAAAATTCCTATGTAAATAACTCAATATGACTTTTTAAATCTTAATGTTCTACTCTGAGGTTTACAAAGGCACAGAGCAAAAGAAACAAATTTTATCACCTGGCTGCTCTCCATTGCAGACTCTCCCCTCCCATCTTCTTCAGAGACTTGGCAGTTTTGCAGAAGGTCATTACTTAAAGCAGAAACAAACAACTCTTTACATTGTGCTGATCCAATCACTTCTCTCTTTTGAGGACCTACAGCAGCATCTTTGCTTTTATTGGTATTAATCTGCATCGGCAAAAAGTTGAAGGGCTTTCGGTTCTCGCTAAGCTGACGTTTGTTGTTGGCAGCTGTTGCTCGACCTTGAGAATCACTTCCAATGCTTCTCTATATGTGAAAAAGAAACCAAATTCCACAAACATTAATCTTTCAACAAACTGTTTAAAAAATTCCCCTATTCTTAGTCAGTTTCACCAACAGATACTGATTCAGGAGATATGCAAAACAGCTTTGTAGTAAGACTCAAAAGACCTCCCGATCTACAAAATTTTTATTAAAATGTGAAAATTTGATTAACACATCCTATTCCACATTTTGTCAGAGACAATTCAACTGATGACTATGAACAAGATTAGTCTAAATAAAGTACTAGGACTATGGAATCATATTTATAACTCCCATTGCTAATCATACTTGTTCAAAAGCTATGAACCCAATGAATTAGTCTTTAATCAATATGAACATCACCATGAAGATGTGTCTACATCAAGCATTGTCCAAAAAACTCAGCTCAGTGCCTCGCAGTGTTCAATAATTAGAAAATGGATGACTAAATGATATCACCACTGCCATCTTACCAGACTTGAATCTATCTTTATGCATATCTGGAAGCCTGTTTATCTCTGCAGAATACAGATGGAATCATTAAATATTTATTAAGAGTTCATTATCATTTCTATTTGCTTTTAGTTCTAAATTTTATCTCAGCGATTATAAACACAAACCATAGTTTGACTCTAAACATGAGGCAATCTAGTACATCCCACACTTAGCCAATGATAAAGATTCTAAATTAAATCTTCCCTTTTGCTTAAAAGCAATCTTATTCAGTTATTAACAGGCAACACTGTTCATTAATGAAATCATTTAAGTTAGTCATATAGAATAGCAATGAAGTTCCAATAGACTTAACCTTAGCAAGTTTAGAAGACTTTGTTGCCCTCCAAGTATAATACCATCACCACTGATTAAAATTCCTTCCATATGCACACAAACTAAAAGGAAATCAACAGCTCAATTTTTATTCTTCAAATTATTTAATCTATTTCAAGTATTTCCCATAGTCATAACTTTATTTTTAAAATAATTCACAAACCTGATCTAAATCACTGAAGTTTATCCGCTGTTTAAGTTTCTCTAATTCCGCCTGCTCTGGAACAGACATCTGAGTCACGTATCTACTATGTGGAAATGTATGTGGGGTCTTTGTTCTTCGCCTTCCAACTCCCGGTGATGACTCCGGAGAAATATCATTAGTTACCCTTTTGCCACTTTCTACACCAAATTTTTTCTTATTCTTTTCTGATGATCTATTTGCCTTCTTCGGTTGGCCACCCCAATCCTTTAAAAAAGTAAAAGCAAAAGTTAACACCAGGAACCAGAAAAATAATTTGGTATGCTTAAACAATGGTCTTGAAATTAAAAATGACAAAACATTTTTCACATAAACATGTACTATAGTCTTAGAGACATTTACTCCTACTAACAACTTATAATTCACATTGCTAATTATACTTGTTCAAAATTTTGTAAAGGCTATGAACCCAATGAATCAATCTTCAATATGAACATCCAGTCTAAATTTCATACTGTCCTTCAGAAAACAGATTACTTTCCTACCACAGATTACCAAACATATATCCCCAAATATCAACCCTAGCTAGAGTAGTCTAAATAATTTCAAAGGCATTTTTAATAATGGTTCCTTACTATTCATAAATTATATAGTGAAATAAATTATAGATACCTTTACTGCCTCCTTTAAAGTCATGTATGATAAGAAGATGACAGATCTGGAATCAACCGGGATCTAAAGCAATTACAGTTACCTGAAAAAACTCTACCGTCTGATCCTTTTATTTAAATTCCATAGTCTCAGTTTCCTAATATGTAAAGTACTTTCACCTTCAAAACATGATTAAATATTACATACATATAACATGTAGGACAGTGCCTAGCGTAAGCAATAAACGTAACTACTATTTTTCATAGGCAATAATGCATTACATGGTAAGATCTGATATGAAATCACAGAAAGTGCTAAATGTTTTAAGTTTGAAAACATTTTTAGTTAGTGATACGCACCTAACCTTACTCTTTCAACAAAAGGGCTATAAATTCCTACCTTACCCATACTGGAGGAATCTTTTAGTTTTACTACAGTAAAATCTTTTGGGCTATTTTCCCCATTTATAACAAAACACCCTTCCCTACAAACTGTCCCTTTACCCAGATCCATGTGTGGATGTCCTGCCAACCTCTTGTTCTACTTACCCCACCCCATCCTGATCAGAGATGACTAGAAAAGAGATGCATATCTAATTCAAGTGGATATAATTATACTTTAAAGTTTCTAATTGGAACTAAGAGATAAATAGTCAGGATATAATTGTAGCCATAAATGAAAAATTTAGAATGAAGGGGCAGCCACAATATATGACACGGGCCAGGGAAGAAAGCAAGCTGGTCTGCAAAGACAAAGTTGTGTTAAGCAAAAGCACTTAGAAGCAAAGATTCAGGGTCATGAATAAGTAATTCTTGATAACTTTCTAGTTCCTTTTTCTAGTCCCTTCCTAAAACCCAGCTATATTCCTTTAACTTTTTCTCCATAAAACATCTGCATAACCTCATAATAAATCTCCTTTTTAGCTTAAGCTAACTCAGTTACTATCTGCTACCTACAAACAAAAACGTCTTCAACTAATATAATAATGGCTCAAGGTCATTTAATATCTTGGCCACCAAGAAAATAAATATTTACACAGAGTGTCAGGGAGTTCAACTTGGCTAAGTCAGGGAAAAGCGGCTTTTAATATTAGTAGTCAACAACATACCATCAATACTATGATATCATACCATATTGTTGAGTCGGTCATCAACATTCTCACTGCTCCAGTTTGGTAAATCCTGATCATTCATACCTTCTTCAAAAGGACCTCCACCTGTGGCCATCCTGGCTTTAATGATTAATTTTCTGCAAAACAAGTGAAAACTAACTTTTTTAACACAAAAAAACAATTTTTAAATCATTCCATGAAGTTCAGCAATATAAAGGAATCTCAGAAAAGTTACTTTTATGAAATAAAAAGAGGCACTGTCAATCACACACCACAGACAAACTGATTTAGCTGCTATAAGTATATTATGATTACCATGTGTTAAGTAACTAGAGTGATGGGGAGACAAAGGAAAACTTTTGACTATTCGCCATGTGTAATGACCTGCATGTTTCAAGGTTATTCTTTTTAATTTATTCAACATAGTCCTAAAAGGTAGACTAATTAGGTAGTAAAAAGTTGTTAACAGCTGGAATCAAACCTGCTCTTAGGAAAGAAACTGATGGCCCCAAAGACCTGGGCATTCGTTTTGTGCCAAAGATTCAAAGAGGGTAGAATTGCTCTCTGTGAAACTTGGGAGAAGGGTTTGGCTTTAACAGGAAGTAAGGTAATGGTAAGGAAGAGGAGGGGGCAGAGGAGGGAGCAGGACTAGCTGCGTGGCCAATAAAAGCCGAGAATACAGCGGTTAAAAACATTTTGAGAACAGTGATGCCTACTACCTTATTTTAAATTGTGCTGTTACCTCATCTTTCCCTGTATCTTGATATAGTCTACCGAAGTCACAAATTTTCCCCACAAAGACAGGATTTTGTGGAAATCAAGGAAGATACTGAATTTCACACCTGGGTCAAAGAGATTGAGAAACAGAAGCAGCAATGGTAGAAGTAAAAGTTCAGAAGAACAGATGATCGTGAGAAAATAAGACTTTGCATCTCATGAGGGTTTTGGCCTTCCAGTGGGTGTGAAATTGCACAGCCTGGAGGGGAACTGAGTGAAGAGGAGACGGTGAGATAACTTTACAATTCAAGGGGCAGGGAAGGCCATTAGATATCAGGGTTATGGCAGGTTTCTCATCTATATGACAAACAGTAACATGAACATTCAAAGGAGTTATATTATTTGGCCAAGGTCACTTGGCTAATAATGTAAGAAAAGAATACAAATCCAAGTTGCTCTGATTCTGAGACCCTAAGAATGGCTGCCTTATACCGTAACACCAAGATGGTGCATAGATTAAAAACAACCGAAAGACAAGCAAATAGAATGGACTTTAAAAATGGAGATCTTACTGGTTTGGAAGGCAGAAATAAAAAAGAAAAGGTCAACAGGTTCATTCACATAAAAGTAAATCTTAAGCATGCTAAGAATAAATAGTAAATGACAAATTGAGAGGAAAAACATCTGAAAAAAACATGATATATACAGTTACTACCTTTATGAAGAATTTATAAAAAAAAATCAAGAAAACCACTAAAAAAATCCCAAGAAAAGTATGAACAATTTACAAAGAAATCAGTAAACATAAAATTGGTGAAAATATTAATAATAAAGTCCAGCTGTAAATTAATATAAAGAACTATTAAATTTGTTACGTTACCTATATTACCTAATCCTAATCACAGCAAAGGGAAACTGGTATCCCTGCCGTGAGAAGGTAAAGTACAGCCTTTCTTGAAGCATTCTGGCAATACTGTATCAAGAACTAAAACTGTGTTCTGACTCAGTAATTCTACTTTTCCATAGCTAATCTAAGAAAACAACCTTAAGTATGGGGGGAAATGATTATTAGAATAGAAACTTATTAATGTATTCAAGTAGAATGTCATCAATTTTTTCTTAAAAACAGCATTGTTATATTTACTATCAGAATAATAAACTAAGTTTACTTCAAGATAAATTTATTAAGAATGTATTTGGCAAGATAATATTTTATAGTCTACTTTTATATTATGGTGAATTCCCCCTAAAACGAAGAGCTTCTAAGGATCTTCTAAGTTACAGGCTACTGACATTGAAAACTATTAAAATAAGTTGATAAAACAACTTAAAACTACACTAAAATTAGTGTGTGAAAAATATATCAAGTATTATTAATTTTTTAAAAGACTACTTACTAAATCTATTAAGTTTATAAAATAACTTTACTATTTATACTGTGATGGACATATGATGAGATGGGATATTTAATAACTTCATAATAATGGTACCACTATGTTTAAAAGGCACACTCCTATATGAGTTATTAGTATGAAATTAAAGAAATAACCATTTATATCAATACTCAATATATTAACCTTCAGCTGATTTCTCTGAGAATAAATATATCTCCAATAAAAGGTAGAAAATAAAGGCAAATAATTTCTCTGTCCTTCATGCCAACCTCTCTAACCACCTGAAAATCAGTATTAAAATTACAGATCTCTGCCTTCAAAACTTTTTTCTGTGGACATATATTATTTACAGTTTATTACTTTTTTATTACAAACTACCACTTGTATGGAAAAACTTCCAATGAAACACTGGGTATACAGAAAAGAGGACCAATTCAAGTGAGGTTTCTGTGGTGGAATAGGACTTGCTGACCATTAGGAGGGGGAAATGAGGCAGTGAGGAAGGAGTTCAAGGGAGAGTCCTAGGTTTCTAGCTTGAACAACTGGGAATACAGTATGTTTAAAGTGACTAGAAAAGGAAATTTTTGTTGATAAAAGATTATAGTTAGTTCAGTTTTAGAAATTTTGGGTTTGAAATGCCCATTATATACCCAAATAAATTTGTCCAGTCCCTTGGAAGTGAAATCTAGGCTGGACAGAGATTTTCAAGTCATCCATCCATTTACAATAGTACTTGAAGTGGAAGAGAAGGCTCAAGAGAAGATGACTAGTAAGAGAAGACTAAATCTTGAAGGACACTAATATTTACAAGACAGAAGAAAAGAACACTGAGATGGTAGGAAACCAGGAGCATGTGCTAGAAAGGGGGGAAAGGGTATAAAGAAGGAAGGTCTGAAAAAATGCCAGATGTTACACTGTCAAATTAGAGAAGTACTGAGAAGTGCCCACTTGGACTTGGCAATGAGGTTACTTGGTTAAAGCAGTTTCAGCAGGGCCAAGCTTTTCAGCAGGATTAATTTCATAACTGGAATACGCTTAGGGAAAGGGGAAAAAAATAAAGTTATCAGATAATTTTTTTAAGGAATCAGTGTATGAAAGGGAGGTAGAGCTGATCATGAAGAAAGTTTCATTAAAAAGGCAGTATCCTCAAGTATCCTGAACATGCATTTGCCAGAAAAGAGCTGTTAAAGGAGGTGAAGACGCAGAAGCAAAAGGAGATAAACTGTTGGTAGCACACATGTGGGGTTAGGAAGGTGCGGGAGGCTGTAAGCGACATGAAGTGGAAGGGACTGTTCATTAAATGTGAAAGGGTGAGGTGGCAGTGTTTGAGAGATTTGAGAAGAGTAAGGGAGAACGACTGGGGGCAGCACAGAAAACTCAGTGAGAGCAGAGAACATGCACTGGTATGTCTTATCTGCAGTGTGAATACATTTTTTGAGCCAGCACTGCTCATCAGCTTTGGTACAAATATTCCATTGAATCTATCGATGGCTGGGAATTTGCCAGGCAAGTTTAATAGAAAGACAACGAGATGGAAAAGTTGAAGCTACTGGACAACAATTGGTACAAATGATGGAATGATAGTACAAGAAACTGAATGGGGATAAAAGTACATTTCTCCTACGACTGATCCAGCGCCAGCTACACTAAGAGGGTGGCTTAAATCTCTTTTACCTTAAACAAGCACTTTTTATCTATCCTATGACCTACTACACTAAACTAAAACTTTTATTTTTAAGTTTCATTCAGCTATTTTTGACAGCCTTATTTGGCTTCCTTACCTTGCAGAGATATGAAATGAAAAATTCTATGACAATTTATATGCTACTTTCAGTGACTGACCTTTTTGAAGAAAATCCTGTTGTACAATCTTACTATAGGGAAGTATTATACATATCCAAGGAGACTATCACTGTACTAATTACTACGAAAACACCTATAACTAAGGTTTACCTATGAAATAGGAAAAGAAAAAAGGTTATTTTCCTAAAATCTTTAAAAGTCAGGTATTATTTCTTAAGTGGCATTAAATTACTCATAACTATCTCTGGAAATACCTTCTCAACTAACAGGTGTAAACCAGTATTAGAAATACTCATCCAAATACAATTATGTAGAAACACTATTTATTACTGTCCTTCTCCACAAAGTCTTGCACTTTTTTTGGTAACAACTGGCTTGTTGTGTCCCTCTCCTCCTCATTCCCTGCTTCCACGACCCAATCATTTCACTTATCATTTTTCTAAGCCTATGTCCATCTCATTCTCTCTATTCCAATACTGTTTTCACTCTGAACTGGTAACTTGTTCAAAATCCTGTACTTCTGAAATTCTTCTTTCTGACTCTAAGTTCTTGCATTCGACTTCTCTCACTTGTTCATTCCTGTTGAACCTGCTCTTGGCCCTGCGGAATACTTCTAGTCCTTTGATCATTTCCATTTCCAGGAATCCATTCACCCCGGCTTTCTTACCCCAAGCACAAACCCAAGTAAGCCATTCCAAAAACGCCTTGCTAGCAACCTGGACTTCCTCTCCTACCTGCCTATTGTATCAAGTCACTTCTGGATAAACCCCTCGACCTGCTCTCTGCATCTACTTGCAAACTGCCAAACACTAGGGAAACAGTATAAAATAGCATTGACTGCGTCTACTATTAAGGTAAACTATAATGCACACTGGCACACACACACACTTTCAAAATGTAGGCTTACTCCAAGAGGTAAGGCACCTTGTCTGTTTTGCTCACTGCCATTATCTCCAGTACTTTATAGTCATTAAGCCACACACTGTAGGCACTCAGTTAAATTTCTAAAATGTATGTATTGCTATGTATCTCTTGTTGGCTACTTAATGAATTCCCTAGTGTGATTATTCCAAACCCTTTCTGTATTTTCCAAGTCTCAAATACACTTGAGTCCTTTGCAAATGGCTAAATGCTCTATAGAGAAAACCAAGGTCTTCTAATGTGAGTTAGCTCAATTGTCCTATATTTTTATTCCATTTTATCCATCTTCCTAATATGTTAACAGGAAAATTATTTTATAACAGGTCTTTTAATTCTTTTTATCTTACTAAATGCCTACTATATAATTCTAGTGTTAGGAACTCTAAGACACACACTCACATTTGACCTTTCTCAAGTTCCATTTTTCTTGTCCTGTTATTTTCTTCCGATTAACGAAAAAAACCACTGAATTGTAATTAAGACAAAAACCAACTGCAAATCTGTATTTTTCTCATGTTAGTTATTTCATAAGGGAGCTAAAGACTTATCTGCTTTCCTAGAAAGTATAGCTAAACATAGTATGAAAATGGGTTGTCTTAAAATTTTAACAGGAGAATTAAATTCAGACTCTGTAATTTTTTTAAAAGACTAATTATTTCTAAAATGCTTTTAACAAAAACTTCTAATCTTCATCCTTTAATTAATCAATTTCAAAACTGTCCTTAGCAATTACTTAACTTTTTCTCAGTGAACTTACACTGACTTTTTTCAGACAGCCCAAGAATATCGTTATATACCATCTGACAACACACTCTGCACAGAAACTAATGTTTAGTTTTCACAGCTAAAAGAAAAAAACAGAATTTCAATCAATAGTATATATAACAAGCTCAGAAAGTAGAGGAGTTTGTAAATAAAAACATAACCAATTCACAGAGAAGTTGTAAAAGAAAATGACTTCATTAAATGGATTTAGAAAAAAAGACCAGCCAGAGTTGTTACAGGATAAATTCAAATTCACACGTTTGTGACAACAGACATTCATCGTCTGTGAAAAAAGTCTGTGATAACAGACATTTCAGAAGGCTTTGCATAAATTATTCTAGCATTTTAATAATTAGGAATGACATGGCTCTTTTCTAACAAAAGTATGAAGGCTGATCAAAGTGACAGTCCAAAAAGCAGGGCAAACAGGGCAGCAAACCCAGACATTGTCGCTGAAGCATAAAGGGTGCTCAACCACGCATGGGTATTTTGATAGCAGTCTCCATCAGAAAGTCATCTTCACCTATTTTACAAAGGCCAATAACATATGTCAAATTACCTGTTTAGAAACTAGTTTTTGCAGCTCAGGAACAGCTCCTTTCTTGCTTCACACTTAAAGCGGTTGCCTGTTTACAATTTAAAAAGAAAAACTCACTTTAGTAAATTCTTGCACTGTGAAGTACAGAATAACAAATACTGTATCTGTAACCTAAAATATGTTCATAAAATCAACAGATGAGAAAAAAAACAATTTATCAATATTTTAAACTCGTGTTACTTTAATCCTTTTGGAAAACAATGGGATATACATAAACACTTAAATCCTCCAAACTTCTAAGATCCCACCAAACAACGTGATAGTGCAGTTTCTACTCTGGAATATAAGGAAAAATGGTTAACCGTAATTATCATGTGAAGATCGGTGCCCAAGTTTGCTCTTCAGATTGATCAAGCCATAAACTTCCTGCCCCTCAAAACTATTCAAGAACTTTGTATATTCAATGATGAAAAACAGGCTTCCTTTATTTGAAAGCTAGCCACTTCTCAAGAACATAATGGGCTTGTAAAACACAAGATTTACCTTCAAAAACTCAGTACTCTCATAGTTTCCAGTGGGTCTCACCGGGAAGGTGATGGGGAGAGAAAGGAGCAGGTGCACCCGAAGCTCCACAACACCCACTCCAGTAACCAGAGAATACCAGAAGGCGGAGTCCGAAAAGCAGTTACGGGGCGGGGGTGAAATAGGGGCGCCCGGAAAGCCCGCTCCTTCCAGCGCCAAAACACGATCCGCCATCGTAGGGCACAAGACACAAGACCTCGAATCGTTTTTTTCTTTTTCAGACAAGGCCAGCTCCTCAGGAGTGGGCCGCAGTACGGAAAGTTTGGACGACCCGCCCCCCAGCGGGGCCTACTACCTAATCCCCTAACACTAGTTTCTGCAAAGCAAGCAACGTTTCCTGAATCCCGTTTGGCGTTTAGTTTTCCCTATCCTAGGCCCATTCTAACTGGACCTGCAGTAAGGGATGGAAGCGGGGAGCACTAGGTGGGAGGGGGGCGCGGGGGAGAACTATTAAATTAGCAATCCCCTCCCAAGTACAAACCACCTCGACCAAAGTCGGGAACGTTCGCCTCCCCAGGCCCCTCTGCGCTAAGAATACCCGAGACAGATGAAAAGCCGCTGCTCAAACGTCGCGTCGCTCCGGCATCGAAAGCGCCACAGGATGGAATCTGGGGGGCGCGGCCCGGGGACTATGGCCACGACGGCCCCCTGCTACGGCTACTAGATCCCCTGCCCCCGGCAGCCGAACCTCAGCCCCGCTCCGCTTCCTCCACTCGCAAGGCCCATTCCCGGGCAGCCCGGGACGCAGGGCGACCTCCCCCGGGGGAACAGAGGGACGCGGAGACCAGGGGGGGAATTCTGAGGGGCTATCACGCCCCTAAAGGCTCACCGGAGTCGGGAGACGGGGGCGGACTGTCTGCCGAGGGGACGTGGAGCAGACAGCGAGAAGACCCGGGCGCCCCCTGGGAGGCGTGGGCCCGAGGCCAGGCCCTACGGGGTCAAGTGTCCCGGAGCCGTTGCTCTCCCGCCCCTGCGCCGCGCCACCTTCGGTTGCCAAGGGCTGGGGACGCGCAGGCATTACCTGGACACGCAGCAGCCACTCCTGCCAAAGACGAAGTAGCGGTCAGCCCCCACGACCTGCCACCGGCGGCGGTTCTCCCTTAGAGACCGCAGCAGGGAGAGTCGACAAGTTCCCTGGCTGCCTAGGGCCCAATGGCCGCCTTTTCTACCTTATCCACTCGGCACCAACCGCCGCAGCCTCCGCCATCTTAGGATCTCATTGTGGTGGGAGAAGAGGGGCGGGGGGACTGCAGAGGGGGCCACGCGCCGTGGGACATGCGCCGTCTCCTCGGCAACGCCGCGCGGGGGCGAGAGCTCGCCTGGGCTGCCGCCGCAGTGCGATCAACGCGCGGGCCTGGGGTCATGTGACCGGCGGGAGTCTGCGGCGGCGCCTCCGGCGCTTTAGCCAGCCTGTGTTACGCAAACGAACGACCGGAGACTACAAAACGCAGAATGCCAACTTCACCCTAGTTATAAGGGCCTTCGCGTCCGCCACGAGGGCGATGACTACAAATCCCAGCATGCCCTGTGCCTCCGGCGCCGCTTCTGGAGCGAGAAGCCCGGGCCAGGGCGGAGGTAGCTTGATCCCGGGCAGCTGCCGGGAGAGACGCGGAGCCCTGCTGTTGCCATAGCGGGTATCCGCTGTGGATGGCGCCGGAGGGAAGAGAAAAGCTCTTATGTTCCCTGCCTACCCCATATCGTGTTCACGTGGGAATAGAAGCAAAAGGGCCATTACAATCCAGGACTAATTTTACACGCGAGGACATAAATCCCGCGCAGTTGATTGGCTAAACGTCACACAGCTAGTTAGTTGCAGAGTCGTAAAATGTTAATTAACACCACCTTGGATTAATGCTCTACGTTTTCCTTAGAAGAACTAGATGATTTTTAGCAGAATTGAGTATGCGGAAACTTTTTCTAAAACTGTCGTTTCTCAATTCCCTTTGTATGTATTTTCAGCAGCAGCTCTAATAAAGGTTAGTAAATTGACAAATTCTCCAAAAAACAAACCTCAACTTGCATAGATTTGAAGATCGAGTTGACCTTATTAGTAATGATTCATGAATCGAGCAGCCTCCCATCTAGCAACTATGAAGGAGCACCATCAAGCTGTAGAAAAGGAAACGTTTTTAAAGGTGGGAAGGGGGTGAGAAAAAGTAAATTATTAGCAAAGAATGCATTGTTTCAGGCAAGGTGGTCTTTCTACAGGAACAGAAGGGTTTAGCAGGGCAGATGGATTACCTCACCACTGTGACCAGGCAAATCCAGGTTGACTGGATAAAGTTAATATTCTTGAGGGTTGAAACTGCAGTTAGGTTATATATTAAGTCTTGGTTTGCTGGCATGGGGTTTAGTACAAGTGACTCCATTTGGGGCCTGCTGTCTCCTATTTAGTACTTTTTTTTAAAGCAATGAAGTTATAATTAAGGCCTTCAATGTACCTACCTGAAAAGTTGAAAAAGCAGTCAATTCAACTCGAGTGCAAGGTGTCTTGCCAATGGGTTTCAGCCCCAGGCAAGTTCGCAATGGTTCAATGTGACCGAAGAAAATGACAGCAAAACGTTTTTGGGGTGAAAGGGTTATATCCAACTTTATTTCCAGGTGGCAGGTCAGTCACTAAAATCCCGTCCACTCAGAGCAAGTCTGCACACAGCAAGCCAGTCTCTGCCTCTGGGCCCCTCTGTCCTCACAGCTGTCCTCCAGGTCTCTCTGCACAGTCGTCCCGCACAGCCGTCCTCTGGGCCTCTGTCCTCCGTGCTGCCACCACTCCAGCCCCTGCTCTGCTCTCCTGCAGCCTTGCAGCTCTGCCACCATGTTGCGCTGTTGCGCCCAGAGCACTGGACGGAGCTCTTTTTTATAGAGACAACAGCCATTTATTGCCCACAGGTGTGCAGTAAGCCAGTCAACCACGGCCAGGTGAGAATCCTGGCCACAGGAACTCTCATTTTATCCACACAAGGGAATTCTATTTTTCAGACAATTATAATTGTGAGTGTCTTGCCGGTGGGTTTCAGCCACCGGCAAGCTCACTCCTGATTCCCCAAGACTGAAAAATGACAACAGAACGTTCTTGGGGTGAAAGGGTTTGTACCCAACTTTATTCCCACGGTGGCAGGTAAGGTGCTAGAATCTCATCGTCCTCAGCAAGTCTGCATGCAGCAAGCAGGTCTCTGCTTCTGGGCCTCTCATCCCTGCAGCCGTCTCAGCCTGTCCTCCGTGCTGCCACCACTCCAGCTTCTGCTCTCCTGCAGCCCTGCAGCCCAGATCACTGGGCAGAGCTCTATATAAAGTCAGTAACAACGTATTGCCCACACGTGCGTAGTGAGCAAGCGGACCAGGGTCAGGGGAGAATCCTGGCCATAGGAACTTTCATTTTCTCTACAGTGGGGTAAGTTTGTTTTAAACAAAATAAAAGAGTAGGAGGAATGAAATATGGACATGAAGTTTCCAACAACAAATTGTTCTCAATTACCAACACAAATTGTTCACTAAACCAATTGGTAGAAATGTATCTCCATACATAATAGAGATAAATGAAAGCTCCTTCTGCTGTTGTATCCAGGTTCAATGTCATTGCAATGATCTCTAACACTTTATTTCTCACACATTTTTTAGTGCTTTCTGTGTCTAATGTTACTAATTATTTAGGTAATAAAAACAGTCCTGTCCTCACAAGAGCTCATTTTAAGTGAATGATGGAGAAATATGGTGTGATGTAAATAAGTTATGTTTTGTAAGACAACATAGTGCTGTGGGAATTCAGAGCACAGAGCAACTAACCCACAGGAGATGCTTACTGTAGTCCAGGAGTGCCTTAGGCCCCATTCTATTCCACGGATCTTGGGCAAGTTACACAACTTTTGTGAGCTTAAATTTCCCTATCTATAAAATGAGAGGTGGAAATAATGATATTGCCTACCTGAGAGGGATTTTGTTTTTAAGTAGTAGTTATTTTGTACACGGCACAGGGTTATGCATTTCATCTATTGTGATTTTCTTAATTCTCACAGCTATCCTAAAGAGATTGATCCTGCAGTCGTTCCAAATGAGAGGTTAAATAAATCAGAGTTTTGACAGCTCCCAAGTGAGAGAGACCAAGTTAAACTGAGCTCTACTGACTCCTTGGAGGGATTTTTTTGATTAAGTTAGAAAATGCATGGGAAAAACTACTAGCATATGGTAAGGTCCCAAAATATTAGCTGTCATCATAATAATCATCAGCATTTTGTTTTATACATAAATTTTTTTAAACAGGTAGAAGCTATCATCATTAAAACTATTCAAGCAAATTCAAAAGTACTACTGCTTTTTTTATAGTCATGTTTTTTTAAATTTTGGACCATAAAAATGTCAATACTATTATGCCTGGTGGTGGGAGGAATCTGAGAAATTTTTATATTAAAAGGGGTGCTCAAATTCAAATGTGAGTATTACTGATCTTAACAGGGAGCAGAGTGAAGAAGAAAAACTAGAAAAACTAAAATTATCCTCCAAAACCTACCATCTAATTTAGAAAACAAGCCTTATGCAAATAAATCCATTTAGTATCAGTAGTGTCTGAGTATGGCAAATAAATGGTACGGACAGTAAACTCTTAAGTAATTCAGACAAAGATTATTGATATATTGCCTCAAAGATAATGATAGGTCCATGATTTCTATGTAGGATTAAATTAGGGGCAATAGTCTGGTAGAAATGTAGATGGGGAACTTGAGTGGCCTCCATGAGACAGATATACATTGAAACTACATCTCAGTTTTCTACATTTAAGAACGACTTAACATAGATGTTAAAGATGAGGAAAGAGATCTAAATGGAAGAATGATGTTCAAGGAAGAGGTGCACACCTCCAACACAGATCATACATCCAGCATAAGCAGTGGATAATGGAGAAACCAAACTGAATGAAGATGAGGATTCATATGGAGTGCGAGATGGGAAGACAGGAGAAGAAAGCAAGATTTTGAACAGGTTGGGGCCAAACTAGAAAATCTAAGATGTTGATCTGAAGAGTTTGGACCTTATTCTGTAGATAGTGTGAAAGCCAGTCGACGTTTTTGAAGAGGCAATGATAAAATGAAGTAGTTACTTTAAGACTTTAATCTAGGGCCAATAGTTACAACAGTCTAGGGAGAGTGTAGGAGAGGGGAGACCCGAGGTAAATAACAGGTGGTAACTGGCATGAAATACTTAAGGGCTGGCCTAAGATATAAGCACAATGAATCAAGTCAAGAAGTCGGATTCTGGTGGTCAACTAAATCAGTTGTCAGGCTGTGTACAACAGCATCTTTTTCTGTTATTTGATATCTACTATGACACCAGGGGGCACTTACAATGTAACATTTTGTGCCATATTGTTTCTCTCCTTAATGTGTTCTGTATGTTCTTTGTCCACAGACGATTCTTAAGCGTAGATAGAGCAGAAACCCTGCCTTTTGTACTTCTCTCTTTCCCAAATGTTTTGCAGTTATTTTGATGTTCATTGATTGGTTCTTTGAAAAAAGGTTTTTGTAGTACTTCATTTTAACCTGCAGGTGGTGATAACACTTAAAAGAAAAATCTTCGGTGACCACTATGTAACTGAATTTTATTTTTGTATTATGTGATTTTTGATATCCCAAGAGAATAGATGACGTTTATGTAACTTACAAAATACAATAATAAAAGAAACACTTAAGAAACCTCTACCTAATCACAAACAGAATATAATCAATATATTTAAGGACTTCCCTGTGTTTTCTCATTCCCCTTCTTTGCAGACATAAATACTACCCTGAATGATGTCAGTGTTATAATTCTTTCATTGTCTTCACATAACTACATGTATATGTCCCTAAATAACATATGGTTTAGTTTTGCTTGTTTTCAAAACTTTACATAAATGATATCATATTATATTCTTACTTGACTTACTTTTTTATTTGGTGTTATGTCTCTGACATTCATCCATGTTGATGGATGAAAACACAAAGTCAGCTACGAGCAGAATGTAAAATTAGTTTTGGGATATCCCTATAACTAAATAGAACTGATTTTAACTACTATATTGTTCGCTATATTAGTTCTATGGGCAATTTGATGAAAGAAAAATTGATCATGTCAAATGGGACTAGTTGGAGACCTCTGACCTAGTTCTTATACCTTTTGGCTAAATTTAAGCTCTTTACTTCTCTGCCTTACTCTAGCCCAGAATGTCTCAAACTTGGCATGATTGACA